AGAACTGCAAATACTTTGTATACTGTATTTAACAATGAAATGCGTCTATAATTGTCGCAGTTTGTTTTTTCTCCTTCTTTGAATACAGGGCATATGATAGCAGTAGTCCATTCTTTAAGCATTTGTTCCGTTATCCAGACTTCCATCATTAGGTTGTAGATCTCTCTTAACAAAGGCTCTCCGCAATTATTTACCATCTATGCATCTATACTATCCAGACCAGGACATCTATTATTCTTCAATGCGGCTATTACATCTAAAAAATCTTCATAATCTGGAGGCTCTACATCACTGTTGTTAACTTCCTCCTGTCCTACTCTAGGGAAGTTTCGCGCTACACTGTTAGGGATTGGTTGTTCAACATTTAACAAATCATTAAAATATACTTGCCACATCTCCAAGATTTTTGATGGATCGCTGATAAGGTCGCCTTTCTTATTTTTGTATATGGTCATTTTGGGTTGGAAACCATTCTTGAATTCCTTCACCCCTTTGTAGAATTTTCTTGTAAGTTTTGAATCAAAATCGCTTTGGAGCATTTCGAGTTTGCTTTTTTCAAAATTTCTCTTCTTCTGCCTACATATCTTCTTCTTGTACCCACAGTAAGCATTCTCAATCTCGCTTCTTTTCTGTCCCGAAGTGCCCGGTCGCATTCCTCATCATACCATTCCTTGCTCACCCTTATCTGTGTTGTCTTCAAAATCTCCTCGGCTCCCTTATTTAAAGATGGTTTAATCCTCTCCCAATAACTGTTAATTTCCTTATCTTCATCACATTTCTTTAAAAATGATTCCTGAACAATTTCTTGAAATTGTTCAGCTTTTTGAGGTATTTTTAAAATTCCGCTTTGGTACCTGATAGTTCTTTTTCCCTTTACTCGGACATTGCATTCTATTCTCTGTCTGTAAAGTACATTAACTAAGAAATGATCAGTGTCAGCGTCCGCTCCTCGATAACTTCTCACGTCATTTATATCAAAACAGTGTCTAGACTTAATTAGAACGTGGTCAATTTGATTTCTACTTTTTCCGACTGGGGATATCCAGGTTTCCTTATGTATTTCCTTAAGAGGAAAGTGTGTACTTTTGATCACCACACCTTTTTCTTGGGCGAACTCTATACTTCTAATTACATTATCATTGGATAGTTTATGTTTACTAAACATACCGATAGTTGGCCGAAAGACTTCTTCTTTTCCAATGTTTGCATTCAAGTCACCCATAACTATTTTAACATCATGATGAGGTAACAAGTCATATTCTTGGTAGAGTTTTGCATAGAATTAGTCCTTTTCTTCCTCTACAGTGTCCTCTGTTGGAGCATGTACACTGATGATAGAAGTATTGAACAATTTTCCTTTTAATCGAATCACACATATTCTTTCTGAAACCATCTTGTATCCCAACAGTAAATACTTCAGAGATTTCCTGATCATGAAGCCCGTTCCCAGAATATTCCTATTATAAATTAATATATGTATATATGAATTCATTGATTTGCTGAAAACTCCTATGTGCATTACAGTAAATTGTTCAGAACATACAAACAAAAAGAATTTTATTTTCTTTGGATATATATTTTGGATTTATAGATCTTAGACTATGTAAACGAGCCTTCTCCTCCTCCACCTATCTTGGGGCTACTGCTTTCCAGTTTGCTGGTAGCTCTGCAGCATCCTGATCTCAATTCTGTTTTTGCAAAGACAGATTATTTTCACAGTCATAGATTAATTTTAAATCGACTAATAAGGTGTGCACACCCTGATCTCCTACCTATCTGTTTTGAGTACGTGTTTAAGAATGGAAATCTGGTCTAGCATGAACCTTCCTCTTCCAAATTCTGTACACTAGGAGCTACTGATCTTTTCATTTAACAAAAACATTTACTGTTGAGCCTTTCAGTTGACAAAATGACTAACTTCAATTACAACATTTTTGAGTAATGTCATTTTAGTGATATTTCTAGTTAGAAAATTGATAATATTTGTACAATTTTACGATTCCAAGTGGACCAGTAGATCTACTGATTTCAAGTGAATCGGTGAATCGACCGATTCCAAGTGGATCAGTAGATCTACTGATTTGAAGTGAATCGGTGAATCGACCGATTCCAAGTGAATTGTGATTCTTTTGTATGAATCACTTAGGAGTACGATTCTTTAAGAGGAATCGACTCTTTGATTCGATTCTCCATTCACTTCCCCATCTCTAATGGATATATGCATATATACTCATTTCAAAACATAGAATTTGAACCCTTTTTAAAAAAAGAAATTAATTATTTTGATTTTTGAAGGAACTTCCTCACTGCTTCTTCTCTGAGACCTAGGAGAAGGATTTGTTGCCATGATGTATTAGAATTCTATTTCCCAAGGAATACAGTGAATTGAAGAAATTCACTGCTTCTTCATCATTTGATACCTCTGTAATGCTTTTTATGATTTCATCATATTTTTTAAACATTATTTATGTTTATTCATGGCCTTCAATACATTCCATAACATATGAATCATTTGCCATAGCACTAGGGTTGATATTTTTAATGATATTGGTATTTGGCTTCCATTGTTAACATTTTCTGTAATTTCTTTTTCAAGGAGCTATTTTCTCAACAAATAAATCCACAAAGTATGTATGGTTTGTGGTTAAACAGTTTCTGAATCCTTAGCTAAGAAAAGTATGATTTAAAATTAAGATTTAAAGTTTTGATTTTAATTTTAATGTATTTTTGTGGAGCCATGTTCATGAGTAGAGCTTTTCTGTAATAGAGCTTAATTTTTTTAATCATATTTGGATCTGTTGGTTGTAGAAGGATACAGTTTGGTACCATCATAAAACAAAATCTTGAAAATAGTAACATCTAATGGTACTTTTGGTCTAGAGGGCCGGCACTGACTGCTATCTGCCAATGTTTATAACCTGAATACTGATAATTCCCATAACGCATTGATAAGCCTTCTCCTACTTCATATCTTTGTATTTTTGTATTAAATTCGTATTATTTAAAGTGTAAACAGATACAAAAACAAATGTAATAACAAAAAAAATACTTTTATTTTACGACACATATATTAATGAAATAATAATAAAGCACTTTAAGAAGATATGTACATATAAAACATCAAAATGAAGTAATAAAAAAACATTTAAAGAACATATTTACATAGAAAAGAAAAAATATCAACACTATAAACAACAGAAGTACAATTTATTTTCACTTTGTGTTATTTATTTTGGAAGGCAAATTGTTTTATGCTATTTAAAATAGTGATGAACGGGTCCTCTTTTCTGTGAACCCGCCGCCACAAAAATTCGCACAAATATGAATCGATGTGTTGTCTGGCAGTTCCTCTTTATACTTTATTTCTCCACTTCACTGAGCCCCATAATCGTTCTAAGTGTTGAGTATGAACTCCAGTTGATGGATCCACAAAATTGTACCGGTGATTTACTTGAAAATGGTCATAGTTTGCTTCGTTCAATTGTCGGCTGTTGTATACTTTCCAACAGTCCGAATAAATGGTCGTTCCCTAGTCTATATTGTCTTTAATTGCTTGCAATAAGGTTGTTGCTTTTCTTCCATTTATTTTGACGATAAAACATTCATCTGTTTCTCTGCAAACTCCACCAAACATCCATTGCTGAGGTAAAACTCTCCTCACATGCAAATCCCATATTCTAAGAAGATCCATAATATGACGAAAATAAACGAAAAAAAATGAAAAATAAATACAAAGGGGTCACAAACAAAAAAAAAATGAAAAATAAACACAAACGGGCCAAAAACTAAAAATAAACACAAACGGACCAAAAGTAAAGAATTTAATAAGTGAACGTAATAAGGGAATAAGTGAAAACTAAACAATGCAATAACTCAAAGATTTGGCTGAATAAGAAGAGGGAGGTTATATGACGTGACGTTAGATAAGAAGTAAGGTTTCATGCTGACCTGCTAGACAAAAAGTACCCATCTAACATTCAGCTTGACCTTTATAAAGCACTTGAATAATACAATTTTTACCTTATAGATCCTCCATTACATTGGAACAAGACATGAATGTTATTAGCTCTTTAGATATTTTTTGACAATGACTGAATTTATGTTTTCTTGAATGAATGTCTTATTTGACAAAGCCATCTGAATGGTTTAAGTGCATGATTTATACCTTCAATAATTTCAGCAAATTATCATTTAAATACCTATAGCTGCCTCCTCACTTTTCATTTCTCTCCTTTTTAAAAAGGTAAAAAAAATACCATGTCTTTTTTTAAAACTTATCTGGCCAGCCATCAACAGCTTCTGTAAAATTAAGCTAGATTTTAATTTGGAAAAATTTAGCTTTTTCATTTTCAAATCAGGCCTTAAAGTTTAGTGTATTTAGAATATTTATGTAAAAATTCTTTTAAACTGGAAGTGGTTCATCTCTTATTCGCATTATCTGTCTTTTTACTTGTACCCGCTTCAGAAGTTAATGCAAATAAAAGAATTATGTACTAATTGTTTTCAAGTCAGTGATTTTTGACTTATCTTATTGAAGTTCCCTGACCAGATAGGTAGTTTCTGCCTTGAGACACAATAATATGGATAACTTGTCATTCAAAGACAGGGTTTTTTGCTTCTTCACCTCAATTTAAAACACTCCTCTCATAATCATAATGATGAATACTGATGAAATATTTGATACACATCCTATTCTATTTTGATACAATATGGTGAGAGATTCTCATTAAATAACCAAATTATGAGCTGAGAAATTTGTCTCTGACTTTTTGTGTTTTTTAGAAACACAAACTTTCTATCTTTCTTTCCACGTCTTTGGCCATTTTTGATTGCTAGAGTGTATGGATTATTAAAGTTTATATTACTGAGATTGTACTGTATTCCAAGGCAAAATTATTTGATTTTTCTATATATTTGTAAGTGTGTTTCTACATAATATAATGTAATATTCTCTATTTTTGTTTAATAATGTAGTTATTAATTTTTCAATTTGTTATTAGGCAAGAAGGGACATTTAAAGGAGTTTATAAGGCAATTGATGTCCACGTCGAAAACCTGGAAGGAATGTTACTTAAGTGTCGTTCTTATCAACTCTGTGATTTACCCCAGTATTCCCCATCATTACCAGTGACAAGATATCCTTCAAAAGTATATTTAAATACAATTTTAGAAGGAGCTGTTGAAAGTCAATTGCCAGAGGAATGGGTTGAGTTCATAAAGTCCATACCAAATAATGGCTTTGAAGGCCCAGTAAATTATCAATTAGATGATTAAATTCATTTTAAAACATTGTACTAAGCTATTTGATGATGTCTGAAGAACATATTATTTAATATACTTAAATATATTACAACTAAAACATAAATTAGTTCAGTGCTTAGAAATGTGATTTCATTTATTGGTAAAATATAATGAATGTTATGTATAATATTTATATGTATAATATTCATTAAGTTATGTTATATGAATGATATAAAGAATGATATGAACTATTATGAGAATTTAGTGTTACAAGAAAAAAAAGAATCTTATTGTTGAGTAAGGGAGAAATTATAATAAATTCATGTTAAAAATTATAAAAAAAAAAATGAATTTATATATTTATAACTACCTCCATTTACTACCAACTGCCAGATTTTAATCTTGATTTTACCATTTGAATTTTTATTTGTTATCAGAAGTAATTTTAAATCTATTGGCTTTTTCTTCTTTCTTCTTCTAGAATTTTTTTTTAACCCTGAATATATATAACTGTTTTCATTATCTTTGAGTTATTTTCTCTCTTTCTCTAAATCTAAAAGTCTAAAATAAACTGTTTACTGTAAGTTTTATTTGTCGAAAGGAAGTATAATTGTTACCATAAAAAGAAATGATAAATATGCTGACCTATTCCTATTTTTATCTTAATATTTCATTGCCTGTAACTCTGAAATATGTACATTTTTTTTTTATCTTACAAAAGAAATTTTATATTCTCCTTGCATTAGATTACCATTGTGGTTATAACTCCTCCATAATCACAAGAAATAAAATCTTTGCAACAGTTAACTGTCGTAATTTTCGCTAAAAACGTGGGTACTTTTAGGTGACTGGATAGGAAATTAAATCGCTTCTTTACGTGACTTGAGGTAAATCCCAAAATCTGTCCTAATAAACCTCAATTTATTTAATATGGACTTATAGCTTTTTTTTTTTTTTTTTTTTTTTTGTATTACAACAATATGTCTCTTGGACATTGGTTATAGTGGGGTAGGATAACATTCACACTATATGTACAAAAAATATAAAATAAATAGAAGCAAAATAATAATCAAAAGTATATACAAAAATAATACAATTTTTTTTTTTTATTAAACTCCTCTGCCGTTGGCTACATTCGGCTTCTGGCAGCCCAATACAACTCCGCCATGAATCCTTTGTTTAAATTTGTTCCGATCCCATCAGAAGTACTGCGGACATCTAAAAGAGCAGGGCAAACTGAAAGGTCCTACATATAGTCCTGTTGGCAAAGAGGGCACACAGGACTTTCCACCACTCCAATCCTATGTAAATGCCTTTGCAGGTAATCGTGCCCTGTTGCCATGTGGAAATTTGCGAATCAGCGAATGTTGCCAGGAGGGTATCAGGATGGGCAGGAATATCTGCGGTGAAAAGAATGTAAAGGATGGGACCCTAGACGCTGCCCAGAGGAACTCCTGCCTCAATTAAATGACAGTTGGAGAATTTAGTACCACAGCGAACTTGAAAGGAGCGGTCAGAGAGGTAGAAACGGAGTATTAGATATAAGGATTGTGGTAGATGTAATTTAAGCTTGAAGAGCAGTCCAGCGTGCCATACTCGGTCAAAAGCCTGTGCTATGTCCAGAAATGCACCCGAAGAGTATTGCTTCTTTTCTAGGGCTGAGGATGTATGGTCGACAACTTAGATGTTGATTTTATTAATGGTTTATGGTTTTTCTTATTAAGTGTAAAACATTGAATAAACCACAAGCCTTTTTTAAACTAAGCAAAATCAATCTTTATTAAACTAACAACACAACTTCTTATATATAACAGGGTTATAACTAAAACATTTGTTTTATATATATATTTTTTTAATTCATATAATTGATATAACATATGATTGATATTAATAAAATTACTTTTAACACAACCCCTTAATTTTATTATTATTATTAATTTTATACAAGCAAAAATATGAACTTTCAGATCAAACTTACAAACAAAAATATTTTCTATTACTTTTCACACATTTTAAGATAAATAAGAACTACTATTGAAGTTAACATAACATAAACACTTTATTCAGAAATATTACAATTTGTCACAGTTTAAGGACACTTATAATAAATAGAGTTCAGAGAGTGCATTCATACCGTATATACAAAAATATAAATAAATAAAGTAATAACAAAAGAATAAGAAAAAAGAACAAAAGAGTAAAGAAAAAAAAATATATATATACACATAAGTAAATAAAAATAGAAATAAAAGTAAAACAAACATCTTATATAAAACATACCTATATACATTATTTAAAATTTGCCAGGTGATCTCCGAACCAATCCTGTCCCCTCCACATGTGGAGGGAAAAGGGAGGCTTAGGAGATCCCTACGCTTCTCCCTCAGCCACTTCACTGGTATTTAAAACCAGCGGAGGATGAGTAAGAGCGCTACAGCCACAGACACTCATGACTTGAGTGGAGAATCTGACCATTGCTAGAACTCCAAAATATCCATATTTACAAAAGGTCTCGTGGCCACTGCCGCTTTAACCTACGAAAGGGATTGTAGGGATGGGTGGTGCTTGATAGGGATTGTACAACGGGATTTGGGTGATGAGAAAGGTTCTGGTGAAATTTGGAAAATTTGGCTGGGATAAGATCAAGAATAAATGGGATATTAAGGTCATGATGTAGGGTTTTATTGGTTACATAGAAGGGAGCATCGACTATTGTACGGAGGACTTTAGACTGAAAGGATTGAATGCGTTTGATGTTAGAAAATTTAGCTGTTCCCCATAGTTCTAGTCCGTAAGTCCAGATGGGTTTCAGTATTGTCTTGTAGATCAGTAATTTGTTTTCACCAGAAAGTTTAGATTTTCTATTCAGTAGTCGGTATAGTTGGCCGTATCGTCGGTTAAGTTCCTGTCTTTTAAGTCTAGTATGTGGATTCCATGTTAGTCGTCTGTCTAAGAGAAAGCCAAGATACCGGACTGTATCTGAGAAAGGAAGCTGGATGGAGTTAAAATAAACTGGTGGGCAGGTATTACGCCGAAGGGTGAAGGTAATGTGTTTACATTTAGATTCGTTTACCTTGATGCGCCATTTCTTACACCAGTGTTCAATAAGGAAGAGGTGCCTTTGTAAGTTTGCGGACGCTGTTTCAGGGTCTGAGTTGGAAGAAAGGATAGCAGTGTCATCAGCGAAAGTTGCCAGGAGGGTATCGGGATGGACAGGAATATCAGCGGTAAAGGATGGGGCCCAAGACGCTTCCTTGAGGAACGCCAGCCTCAATTGAGTAACAGTCGGAGAATTCGGTGGCACAGCGAACTCGGAAGGAGCGGTCGGAAAGATAGGATCGGAGTACTAGGTATAAGGACTGTGGTAGGTGGATTTTAAGCTTGAAGAGTAATCCGGCGTGCCATACCCGGTCAAAAGCTTGCGCTATGTCCAGAAATGCACCCGAGCAATACTGCTTACTTTCTAGGGTTGAGGATATATGGTCAACAACTCGGAGTCATTGTCGGACAGTGGAATGTTGGGAACGAAATCCGAATTGATGAGTAGGAAGGTTATAGGATTCAATTATAGGTAGGATTCGTTTCAGTAGGATCTTTTCAAAAATTTTTGAGAGGATTGGGAGTAGGCTAATTGGTCTATAGGATGCTGTATTGTTGGAAGGTTTGCCTGGACGATGAAGAAGAGGACGATGGTGGAATGTTTCCATAAAAGAGGAAAGTGGTTAGTTCGTAGGATGCAATTGTATATATATGTGAGAAATATGATGGCTTTAGATGGAAGTTGTCGAAGGATCTGTGGGGTTAGAAGATCATATCCAGGAGATTTGCGAGGAGTGATTTTCCGTAAAAGGTATTTGACCTAAGAGGGATTAACAGCTTTAGGTGGTAAGGAGAGTGGGATAGGTATTGAGAGGGATTCTTCTACTTTTACTGTGTGGCTGGGATGGGATTCCGGATGAGGAGCGAAAGTATAGGAAAGGTGTTTGGCAAATTCCTCGGCTTTATCTTCATCAGATGCTGCCCAGGAGCCATCACCTCGTCGAAGAGGGTTTGAAATATGATGGGATTTGAGGATTTTTCTGGTGATATTCCAAAGGGAATTATCATGAGCAGAGAGTGTGGTGAGGTAGGAATTGAATGATTGGGATCTGAAGGTGGCTAATTCTTGTTTTAATTTTTTACAGTGATAATTGTAGGAGTGGCGGTCGGCTGGATGTCTGGTACGTTGCCATAATAATCTGGCACGGCGTTTTATGTGGATTAGGTCAAGGAGGTGTTGAGGTAAATTATGTTTCTTAAGGATTTTTGAGAAGTGATCAGGGGAGGAAGCAGTCCAGACTGCTTCTTGAATTTTGGTAGTGAAGGAATGTACTGCATTGTCCAGGTCTTCAGGGGTTTTCAAGGTTACTCTGAGGTCAATATCGGAGAGGATTTGATGAAAGATTTTCCAGTTAACTGAGCCTCTGATGAAGGATGGTGGAGAGGGTTTATGAATAGGAGCTAATGATACTTGGAATATTAATGGGCTGTGGTCTGAGGAAAGCTCATCAAGGTGTGCAAGGGAATGGTGGAGGGTACCTAAACCTTTGTGGATAAAGAAATCGAGGATATCGGGATTATGGTTAGGGTCAGTGGGCCAGTAGGTAGGTGAATTGGGAGGAAGGAGGGTAAAACATTGGGAACTGAGTGCAGACAGCAATGTTCGACCACGAGAATTCGTGGAACAGGGATAAGGTGAGATACTATGTTAGTGAGAAGTGATATCAGTGGGGTAACAAGGGATTTAAATTCTGAAAGAAAGGATGTCAATAAGCTGGTTAGATCTGTAGCATTAGGCGGTGGAGGAACATATTGGATTTGATGTTGGTGAGGTTGTTGTTGATTAGGTACATTAGGTGGGATAGGATATTGAGATTGGGGTTGAGTTTGTTCTTGCGGCAGGGCCTCACATTCATTAGTCGTGTCTCTACCCCCAAGTAGCTTGGCAAAAGAAACCTTAGAGTTCACAATTTTCTTGGTTTAGGTGTATCATCAGGGTCCCTGGGTTTTATATATCTCGCTTTAAGATTTTTAAAAATTTGGCAGCCTTTATAGTTGGCTGGATGGCCTTCCAGGCAAAGGGCACAGACTGCTGGTTCTGTAATTGGTTTATTACACTCGCCAGACTTGTGTGTTTTACCGCATTTCACGCAGCGTGGTAAGTGGTGGCAATAAGACTTGGTGTGGCCATATGCCTGGCATTTATGGCACTGGATGAACTCTCTTTTTGGGTA